TATTAATGTTGAGGCCTAAGAATTAGCAAAAAATTAGGAACTCGAACCCGGTCACCGACCGGGTCTTATAAACTAGTCCACCCTCTACTATTTGGCAAATTCCATCACTAATTATTTTATAAGCAGGACACTTTTTTGTCTGCAAAGTAGACAAAAAACGTCCTGCATATAAAATCTTAATAACAGAAAAATGTCAAATAGTAAAGAAAAAAAAAAATAATAATAAATAAAATTTTTTATAAATTAAAGATAAAAAAAGGAAGGGACAGAAAGGGAGGGGAAGTGGAAAAAAGAGTAAGGAGAAAGCGAAGAGAGGGTAAAGAGGGGAGAAAAGGAAGATGTGAGGGTGGAAGTAAGCAAGGGGTGAAAAAGATAAAGAGTGAAAAGCAAAGAAAGAGGCGAAGTAAAAGAAAAGTGAGGCAATTGAAATTTAAACTCCGATTGCAATGAAGTCACGTGACTTCGGATTTCGCATTCTTGCAAAATCGGAGGAGTTTCAAACTCCGCCGAAACGGAGTTTGAAACTCTGACAAAGCGACGAAGTCACGTGACTTATGGGAATTCGAATTTTCACAAAAATGGTCAGTGACCCAAAATCGGGGTCACGTGACCACGTACATTAAAAAAAAAATAATTAATAATAAATTAATTAATTAAATAAATATAAAAATAGATAAAATCGGCATAATGTTACAAATCGGCATAATGTAATGTATCGGCGTAACGTATCGAAATTGGCATAACGTATCGAAATTCGTATAACCTACGGATACGTTTTGCATTAAAACTTTCAGCAAAAATGTTTTTTAAATGTTTTTTAACTCTTTTTTTATTAAAAAAAAAAAAACACTTAATTGTTATTAAATTTTATATGCTAATTTTTTGTTAAACTAATAAATTATTATGTTATAGGTTTTAGAAACATAATAAATAAACTAAATAAAAGTAAGTTTAATAGAAATTTTAATAAAATATTATAAATTAATATTAAATATACAAATTTATTAAAACATATAAAATTTAAAAAGAAGGTAAAAAATTTACAATTAAAGTAAAAATTTTAAAAATTTATATGATTTATTTAATAAATGTTTTGTTTTATTTATAAATTATACAAATAATTAATAATTTTATTATAATTTTTTTTTTTTAACTAAGATAGAAAATGCCAAAAGAAAAGAAAGAAAAGAAAGAGAAAAAAGAAAAGAAAGAAACAAGAGAAAAGAGAACTACTCCTGATTATATTTTAGAAACATATACAGCATCTGAAAACCCTGAAAAAGAATCTAAAACAGATAGAAAAGCTAGATTAAAAAATAAAAGAAATGCTAAATATAGACATTATCAAACATTAGAAGAAGGAGATGGAGGACCTTCAACAAGAACAAGGTCTAGAACTTCTAAAACATCATCAAACTCAAAAACAAAAGAAGGTCAAAGAGATAGACAACGAGCACATAGAGCTTCTTTAAGTGAAGCACAAAAAGAAAAAGTAAAAGAAAAAGATAAAGAAAGACACAAAAAGAAAAAACAACAACAATTTGAACAATTTTATAAAATAGAATATTGTAGTTTAGATGAATATCAAGAGGAGGTCGAAGATAATAGTGGGAATGATAATGGAGATGATTATGGAGATGATGATGGGGATGATGATGAAGATGATAATGAAGATGATGATGGGGATGATGATAGGGATGATGGTGGGGATGATAGTGGGGATGATGATGACAATGATAATGATGGAGATGATAAAAAGAACATTGGGGGACATAGTGTGAGGAAAATGGTCATTGAATGTGAACATTGTGGGATATTAAGATGAAAGGGGAAAAACCAGAACTTTGTTGCATGAATGGTGAAGTTGTATTAGCACCACTTCAAGCACCACCACCAGAAATTTATTATTTTCTTACAGAAAAAGATCCAATATCTAAAGTACTATTTGTTGATCAAATAAGAGCATACAATCAAGCATTTGCTTTTACATCAATTGCTACTGATTTAGATTTGAGTATTGCCAATAAAAAAAAGGGGGTATATTGCTATAGAATTTAGGGTGATCATTATCATCAAATTAGCTCAGCTTTGCCAGAACAAGGAGAAATACTAAAATTTTCTCAAATATATTTTCATGATTCTTCAAATATTGAAGTACAAATTGATAGAAGACATGATGTAATGAAGCAATCATTAAACAGGAAATGATAAGTATTATCTAAAATGTATTAATGGATTTAAATCCTTTTGTAGACACTTAATATATTTGCAGGAAATGAGGATTTACAAGATCCTCTATAATACATAATAAGCATGGCAAAGATATGAGACAATATAATGCACCATCGGCTAAAGAAGTAGCTGAAATTTGTTTTTCTGATGAAACTATGCATGTAAGAGATATTCTTATTATAAGACATGATAACGAATTAGAAAGAATATCCGAATTACATGGTGCATATGATCCTTTAGCATATCCAATATTATTTCTATGTAGAAGATATGGTTGGCATAAAGGAATATTAAAAAAGGATAAAATTAAATCAGATAATGATGATGATGATGATGATAATAATAATTATGATGAACCAGATTATATATACTGGACTAAACAAAAAATGAAGGCCCATGTAAAAGAAATAGAAGAAAAGAAAAAAGAAAAAAGAGCTCTTAAAAAAAAGATGACTCAACACCCTGAAGCTTCTAAAATCTCTAAAGCTAAAGCTGAAGCAAGTGGTACTTCTAATATTGACTTTGGTACTTTATTAGAAAGAGAATCACAAAGTCAAACAGGATTA